TACAATTATATATATTATGCATATATTATACCTCCACTGACTTTAGTTTAAGTGGTTGGGTGAACGGTTATTTGGGTTAATTCTACACTGATCCAAAAAGAAAGTTTAGAGCTTAGGTCCAAAAGATGGGCCTGGAGAGTAGCCCAAAGTTGTGACTTCCAATTTCATCGAGCCCGATGATTATATTTGCAAAAGTTATGCTTTTCAGCCTCTATAATTGAAAACGTAGCCATTATCACAGAGTTTCAAAATTCTAAGTGAAACTCCATAGTATTGCACGCATAGAATCTTAGAACAACAGCACTATATTTTTAAAGATAGGGACGAAAGATGGCAAGTGGGAGCTATTTCTACATAGTTATGATCACTTGAATTCAAACTTGCAACGTTAGTAATTTTGTAATTCAAATTATAACCTCTTGATCATTGTGTTTTTCTTAAAGATAATGAATTTTATGATCATGTAAACTCACAGTAACACAAGTGGGTACAAATTAGAAAACTTTTTCTATTACAAAGCTCAACATCCATCTAACTTAATTTTTGCTTATGATTTCAAGAATCCATGGAAAATAAGCAAATTTAAAGAAGATATATATAAGTCAATTCATGGCCCAAATTTCTACATTTAGTAAAAGCAGAAATGCAACACACATGGGTCTACAACAGATGATTTATCAAACACATATAAAAGAAAACATCATAACCTAGTCATTACAATAAAACTTGGAACGCGGAAAAGCTATCATACAAGCAAAATATTTTCTACTGACATTTTTTTTCATGACAGTGATGTCCGGTCCAACTTACTAAAGACGTCTATTCTTATGGAGGTTCAACACCGCAAGCAACACCAACAATAGAAACAAGGCGGAACCAACAAGGGAAATAACAATGGCCGCGGCAACTTGACCACAGAACCTATCAAACTTGTCGCACACCTTGATCCATCGGACGTGGGAGTTCCCTTTGTATCCAATGAGGCCGACGGCCAAGGCGGCACCACCACCGGAGAAGAGCAGCGCCACCGTGATGAGGTCCAAGAGAATGATCATTAAGGAGAGACCTTTCTTTTTCCCCCTATTTGCCAATAAAAGGACTAAGGACATAGCTGCATATGCACATGCTATTGCATTCACCACCACAAAGTACCTGAAATATATTTTGATCATAAAAATCACTCATATATTATATAATAACACTCTTGTTTCCAAGATATTCTCACCGAATCCTTGATGTTTTGGATAAAATTGTACTAACTTATACTAGCAGCAGTAGTATTACTTCTCGTGTAGCTTTAATATTTCTATTTAAAGATTAATAATTTAATCAGATTTAGCTATGATATCAAAACCAGAGCCAGAACTGTAAGTTCATAGATTCGGGATTCTAGCTCTTTTAAGTGATCGGATCCTAAATTAAGATTTTGTACATATTTAATGAATTTGTTAAATTATATATAAAGTTTAATTTGAACCAATGATATTAGGTTCGGCCGAACCTATAAGCTACGCTCCAGCCCTGATGATCACTAGTCTAATTAATTAATCTTCCATAAGCAAAAAATGGCAAAAGAAATTTGCCTAGAAAAGAAAACATTTTTGGCATCAACAGGCTTTTTCTCTGTCCACTTCCTTTCTAATACAGCTGATGCTGAAATAGTCAAATAATGACATGCTATATATAGAAAAAGGAAAGAGCGAAAGAAAGAAATCGGATTACTTACATGCGAAGGTTTTTCTGAATAAGTACAAAATAGATTACGTGTCGTATTAATTTGGCATGACCGCATGAGTGTTGATAAGGGTGGCAAGTGGGTCGGTTAGGTCCGGACCCGGCCCAGACTCGTAAATTCATGTGTAGTGGGCCTAAACGGGCTACCCGTTTAAGTCCAGGACCAAGGAGCTTGAGGCCTAAGTAGGCCGGTTCACTGAAGAAGCCCGTTAGGACCGGGATCGGGTCCTAATTGGGTCGGTTCAACTGGTCCTAAACGGGCTCAAACGGGCCCAATGACTACTTTTTTTTAAAAAAAAAATTAATTTATTTTTTGGTCGTTGCAACATTTAAAAAATGGCCGTTGGCCGGCAAAAATAATCGTTTGGGCTTTCTAAAATAGCCATTTAACTCCCCCAACTTTGTTTTAACCCTAAACTTTTTATAATTACACTTTTTCCCTATTTTCAACTATAAGTACCCCTTTATTCTTTCATTTTTCTCACAAAATCATCAATCTTTCTCATTTCTCAAACTCAAATTGAAGTATATATAATTTACAAGAAATTGCCTTAGATAAAAAAAAATTTAAAAAAAAAGTCAAGGCCCACTTAGGCCCGTTTAGGACCGGGACCGGCCCACATAGCCCGGGACCATTAGTTCGTGGTCCCGATCTGATTAAACCAAAAGTCCACGAAGCCCGGGACCGTTTAAGCCCGGCCACGAAGCCCGAATCCACTTAGAACCGGATCATTTAAGCCCGGCTCGCAAAGCCCATTTAGGATCGGGCCCGATCCGTTTGCCACCCTTAAGTGTTGATAATGGAGAGAAACTGTGGCACATATAGCCAGTAACTCATAACCAAGATTTTGGGCGTATTTTTGGGGTCAACTTAATTTATTGGAGGGCAAAAACAACAATATTTAAATCATCAATTCGTCATGCATAACTCATCACTATTGTCATGAGAAATAGAATTAATTATCTTATTAGAAAATAAGATGAAGTCCAAGTGCATGTGAGATAACGACGTTAGAGATATTAGAAGATACGTTACGTAATTTATCAGTGTTAGAACTCTCTGTATTCAAAAATGGGTAAATGAACAAACTTAGTTTAAAAATAAAAGCAGAAAATTCCGAGCCCACAAGTTTCTTGTGTTTTCTTAAGAAATTTAATCCCCTCACAATGCCTAAGGTTGCGGATTAATTCCTCCCATGATAGAACGTAATAACTATTCTGTGATAGCGGCACTTCAAATCACAGAATTTCGTCGAACTCAAATGACGGAGCAAATCATACAAAATGCTTACGTTTTTGGTTTTGGAAAACAATGCAGAATGCAGAAGTTTGAGGGGAGAGATTTCAAATTTTTCGGTGGTTGAAAATGAGGCTAAGACCCTCTATTTATAGCCAAATTTGGCACTGTTTCTGAAAAGGTTTGCAACCTTTCAGAACAGCCATAGTTGTTGGAACAGATGGAAAAAATTGCGGGAAACAACTAACGGATTTAAAATAATCCGGGATTTGTCCAAAAAGATTAATCAATCAATCTTTGATCAAAGCCTGAGCCGAGCGACGACGACGGCGCGAGACACCACTTCTTCTTAACTCTTTAAGAACTAGAAGATGTGCTTCTATATATATATACACAAAGATTTTCTTTCTTTCTTCTAATGAGGGACAAAGTGGATTAGTAAATTGAACTAATTCAAAATTTCACTTCCCTCCATTTCTTTTCCCACCATTTTCCATTCACACCTTTTTTGTTATTAATAACAAATCCCAACAATCAGATAATATATGTGAAAATCTTTTAGGAAAAATATAAACGTAGCTCTTCAACTCGGAAACAAAAAAAAGAAGTAGAAAGGTAAAAAAGAAACAGGGATGAAGAATAAAAGAGAAAGAGACGGCCAAAAAGGTACTTTATGGCGTTTCGTAGGAAAATTTCAATGAAATTTGTTTTCGAAAACTTTTTTATTTTTAAAATTTGTTTGTTGTACTTTTTCTTTTCAAGTTTGAAAAATTCAACTCCTTCGCAAAAATAGGAGAAATTCGGGCTACTACTTTTCAACTTTTGCAAGAATTTGGCATTTCAAACTTTGAAGAAACATATATGTTTATTCTTTTGGCAACAAACACAATTTCTCTCTAAAATAAGCATTTTAAAGAAAAAAGCATTTTTGACTTCTCAGAAGTTGGCTAAACAAATTATTTGCCATGACTATTAACAATATAAGTTAGAGATATATAATGAGTATTTTGTGAAAAATTCAGCTGGTATATATTTAGTTAAGATTAAATGTCACAAAAACTACATTTTATTACTATCTTTCCATAACCTTGTGTGTCTATCTCTCTCTCTCCACATAGTAAACAGAGATTAGAGTAGAAATTCAGCTAGATATTTATTGCTCTTACATACTTTTCCTAACATGTACATCCTCTCTCGTCGACAATCAAATTAACTTTTCTAACGAAAGTCCTCTTTGAATTGCCCTATTGATTCAATTCAAAAGGTTAACTAACATAGGCGAGACCCCGATGTCAAATTTATGGGTTCAGGATTCTAATTATTTTAAGTTACTGAGTTTTAAATTAATAATTTATATATATTGAATGGATTTTTAAGACAAATACACGATTCAAACCAAAGTTACTGGGTTCGGCCGAATCCGTTCCCGGCACCCTAGCTCCACCCATGCTAACTAATGTTGTTGTGAGACTTTGATTAAGCCCAGCTACTATAGGCTAGCTCGCTACTTCTAACTTCTGTACTGGCCCTTCTACTATGGTATAGTCTTAGGTTAATCTAAGTAAAGTTACGGCTCCTTGGTGGGAATAAAATATCGATACCCGCACATGCACGTTCAGTTTGCGGTCAATTTTTTCGGGAGAGGAATCTTTTTTGCAGTAAAAAATACAGGGACAAAAGTAGCTACTCAGCGGCGGAGGCAGGATCTCCACGAAAGGGGTTCAAAATTTTTTTTTTTGTATCTAGCGGGAATTGAACTCATGACCTTATGTAGATTTTGAACCCCCTTGACCACTAAACTACACTTTTAGATTATGTTAAAGGGATTCAAAACTTAATATATAAAGGTAAAAAACAGATGTTACCTTATATATACAGTATATTTTTTCGGCGAAGGGGTTCACCCCTAAATCCGCCCCTGCATGTAACTGCTCACAGCATGGGCAACAGGGGTTCATCCAAACCTCTTTCGTCAATAAGTCATACTGTACATATAAGGTCGATGTTTTACTTTAAGAAATGCACCCTAGGTAAAAATTCAGGTCTGCCACTGGTTGACTGTCTATACCAATTAAAGATAAACAAAGAGATGTTTGAATGAATTGAATGCTTACACAAAGGCCGACATATGATGCCACTTAGCAGTAGCCCGAACATTAATGGCCGGCAATGTGGGGACTAACTGAACAGCAACAACGGTAGTCTGTTTGTCAACTCCGAGAACAATGGCAGCCACAAGTGTAAGTACAAAGGCTAAAAACCTCAAACCAAAATCTGTCCATCTTATACTTTGCTTATTAGCCACCCCAACTACTTCTTTTCCACCTCCTCCATTCATATTGCTCCCTGTTTCCATAATATTTAAGAGTTTTAAGTGAAAATATTCAAAGAAGGAAAAATCTGAATATGAATTGGTGTGGTGCTATTGGAAAGTGAAGGAGAAGGGTTTATATAGTAATACAGAAAGTCAAGTGGACAATAAAAGAGGGGGTTCGTAGTATATGTTTGAACAGAGACGTGTGAAAGAGAAAACTTTGATTTTTGGCTTTGTTAGGGTACTATGGATGAGTTGTGGGAGGGTTGTTTGTGGGGGTGGGGATCGAGTGGATATTTGGCAAAATCAGAAATTATACCAAGGGAAGTAAAAAAAATAATGCAAGTATATCATACATCATATCAATATTATAATGAGATATAAACGAGTAATCTAAAGTAATTTTAATTTATACTTAGCCTATACGAGAAGCTATATTAAAAAAATGCAACTACTTCTTTATATGTATAAGAAGACTATTTTTGACCAAAAAAAAAAACTTACTGGAACCTCTTTCAAATCATGTAATTTCTACCTGAGGTAGAGGCGGATCTAAGATTTTTATAATATGGGTGTACTACTAAAGTAAGGAGAAAAAAAAGTATTAAATGGAAATTGATCCCAAGTAAAAAACTAAGTATTCAACCAAGTTCACTATTTAGTCTCTTTAGAGCATAAGTGCTAACAGATAATATTAGATCAATTCTAACAAATATATACATAATTTACTTAGTTTGACGAAAAGATCATGGGTTCACGTGCCCCATAAAATAGACTATAAATCCTTCCTTGGAGGTGCCAGCGGGGTAAGATGAGGTGTGTGTGTATATACACACTAAGCAAAATAATATTTGGATTTAAATTTAAAACATGATACTACTTGTAATTATAATAATTTATTTATTTGTTTATTTTTTTATATATTTACACCGCTTATGAAAATATTTACGTACGTTGCNTTATTTGTGAGTTACAAGAGATTTTTGACTCTTCTAATTTGACAACTGGAATGGTCTCAATGCAAGTCTGTACTAGTAATATTTTATATATTATATGAATAAATATGATTATTTTGACTTTTCTCTTCATATTCAGCAGTAACGTCGTATTAATTACGTTAGCGGTTTTGCTTGACATAATAAATGATTTCCCTTTCCGTTATTATTATGAGTTAAATATAATAAAGAGAAAACGCCAAATTTGATTAAGAGTATGGACCATAATACTTCTATGCTTAATAACTATTTTTAGAAGAAGAATGAAGTAGATTTTATACATGACATGTATGAATTTTTGTTGCAATAACTTTTTTCCGTAACTAATTTGATATTTACTACAATTACTAATATGATAAAAAAACTTATACTCCGTATAGAATCCATCGATATCATAATACAATATTAAAGGATTATTTTCTCTCACTACTATAACAATTAGCAGTTTCATGGCATAGAGTAATTGAACTTTACCTACAATATATAACAGTAAAATTACAAAATTTATTTTTTATCATATTAAAGTAATTGAACTTTGTGTGAATTAATTAAAAATGAAGATCAAACTTCTAATGCTAGGTAATTGTTCTTTCTCATTGTATTGTTTCATTTAAATATCATTTTAATTGTCTTTTGCTTTTAAAGTATGAGCAACCAAAAATATTACACGGCGAGATTAACTGCAAAGATAAAAGCATATAATCTGGAAAAAAACTGAGGTGTAAATGATTTTTTGATGGATCATACTTGATTAAAAAAAGTTATAAACTCGAGTGATTTTGAAACAGGTAAGTGATATCCCCCATATCTTTGAAAATTAGCTGGAATATCATCACCACATCTCTTTCCGTGGTTCTTTTTTTTTTTCCATGGAAAGAAAGAAAACAGAATTAAGTGATCGAGAATCACGAGTTCTTAGGTTTTAAATTCTAGTAAAAGCAAAATATCATGTGATTTTTTTCATCGGTTTAATCTGGATCGACAGAGTTATTCGATATTTATAGTGGAGATAATAGCATTTCCAAAAGTTTTGTTAAAAGATGGCATTCGGTCAAAATATTATTTTCTTTTTGTCTTAAACCTTGATATATCTCGTAAAATTAGTTAAGACTAGGGAACGTGACCGCGCTTCGCGCGATCGTTAAAATATGCTATAATTTTGTAATTATATTCCCACGTTGTATATTTAATATGGTGTAAATGAAAAACGAAGTTCATTAATTTAACGTCGATAAATGGTATGTAAATAACATTTATTTGTAATAATGTAAACTTAAATTTTGTAAATGCAATAACATAATATTCGAATAAATAGTCATTCTTTGCATGTTGTATCTGGTAATACTCCTTTATATAATTCGTTTCTAAGTTGTTCTTGTTCATACTTCAAATATTCTTTTCGCATTTGTGTGATTCTTGTATACATCTCATCCAAGGAAGCTTCAGGTTATTTTTTCACATCTGTAACAAAAGACGAATTGTAGTGTTAATATAGCTAAGAATAGTAAATTAATTAAATTATTTAATTAAGCATAAATAATTTACCTTGACAATTATTCAAGGAAGTTTGATGTCGTTGATCTATAATCTGTTTATCCATTGTAGAAATCCTGCCTAATGTAAGACAAATTTTATTGTGCAGTAATAAGCATATGTTGAATTATATTATTAATGTATATTTAATTTAGATCTCTATAAGAATGTATTATTTTATATGCTCAAATATTTATGCTACTTTAGAGACAATATCTATTTGTGCAAAGGAATGTGATTTGTGTAGAACAATAAGAGAATAATGTATAGTTTATGATTAAACCTGATGCTTAAAAACTGCTCCTTTTCATGAAGTTATGTTTTGTGTTATTTTGAATCTTCCTCTCATCTTCCTTGTATGTTGTCTTTCTTGTATTTATATGGGTAAATTGAATGTCTGGAGATCTTGAAAAAAAAAAAAGATGAGTATCAAAAATTTGAAAGAGTATAGGAGGATTAGGAGGGATTTATTTTTTATTTGGAATTAACCGTTAGTGATTTGGTGGATTAATGATATAATGGGAAGGTAAAGAGAAAAATGAGAGAATAGGTGTATAAAAAGAAAAACAATAAATAAGAAAGATAACATACATTAAAGCGAAATCTTTTTTGGAATCTTACCAGTTAAAATTCATAATAACAGGACAATATTTATCAATCGGTCGATTGTTTCTAAAACTTATTTTATGTTACAATTGTTGTTCTGTATTTGTATTATAGATAGCAGTAAATATAAGAAAAGTTAATTTTGTAACTAAAAGTACCTCAGTGAAAACGCAACCAGCTGACCACGTATGAATTGCATTTGTGTATATGTAACCGTAAAGATGAATTCATGCGCCCTGTAATAGCACGCCAGATCAGATGTAGAATATATCGGGCTCCCCAGGCACCTATGGCAAGTGAAAAAAAATCTGAGTAGATGCAAACACATAGAAAAAACATAGTATTCCATTATCGAGGTGGAGAATTCCATTTCACAAGGCTTAATATGGTATTCAAATGCTTATTATACCCTATAAAAATAAACATATATAACTGCATCTTATATTCGTATTATGTTAATACAGGCATAAATAATCGTATTTCTTTTATGTTTTTGACATTTTTTAATTAAACTGGGAGATCAATAAAGGAGTAGAGCCTATAAAAGTAGTACTGAAAAATTAAACTCAGATGTATTATGTGGCGTCGTTCTCTACTTTTGACTTCACTTATACCAAAACAGGTGATTTTGTTTACTAAGGTTATAGTAAATGAATGTGCACTTTAAACCAAAGGGCTACCGACATAAGATAATCAACAACATATTTCTAACCTACAAACCCCTTACACGGTTATGTCTTTCTATATTAATTAACAGTAAAAATAGCATCAATAGTAGAATATATTGTGTGGTAATCAGACTTGTGTATGCTTTCCACTATTTCAGAACAACCGTTAGATGTGAAGACTGCACGTCAAGTCACAAATAGTTAGGACTGAGGCAACAGAAATGACGGGTGAGTGATAAAGGAATCATTTTAGATAACCAAGGAAATGGAAGAGTTATTAACACCTAAGCAGGGAGCATTACCAGCAAAACTTACCATTTCAATTTGTGCAGTCAATTTTACTGTATAATCTGTCTTTAACTTTTGATTTTAACCTCTTTTCCATCAGTAGCAGTTGCATCATCCCAAAAGAATATAATAAACAACAAAAAGAATCAACAAATTGAGATGTGAAAAGATAGACAATGTCATTATTTTAACTAAACTACCATCAATATGTTTTGCCTTAGTTGAGGAGAGTAAGGTCTGTTGTTGCTTCTTCTGCCTGGATTCTCTCCTCATCTCCATAGCTATTGGTATTTTTACTTCTTGTTTTCTCAAAAATTAGATTAGTGTAATGAACAAATTTAGAAGCAAACTAAGACAGAGTAGAGAGAGTGTGTAGTAAATTTTTGAGAGAATTGAAGTGTAGCTCATAGTATTATGCATAACAAATTGTTATAAGTAACATCAAAGAGGTAAGTAGAAATTCATTAGCTAAGAGTAAGAATCATATCAAACATAACCAGCCTAGTTAAAATGTGGAAGTTTGGGTGCTCGAGCCTGTCCTTTCCTCAATCAATATAGCCAACCATCGCAAGGTGAGGATGGTCCTGAAGTTTCAGCTGCCAGAGAAGATGAGAAATGATCATAATTAATTAATTTTTTTAAAAAAACTACACAATTATGAACGTCCTTAGTGGTAGAAAAAATACCTCGTATTTATTGCAACCGTAGGACATATATTTTGGAAAACTTCTTTGTAAACAATATTTTTAATGAACACAAGGTCTTCTATGTCGTTGTCAGCATTCAGTATGGTTAATTCTTGTCTTGTTGTTACTCTGGAGACAGCTACATATAATTGTCCATGGGTGAATACTTGTTTCGGAAGGTACAATCCAACATGGTTTAGGGATTGTCCTTGACTTTTATTGATTGTCATGGCAAAACATGGCGCTAAAGGAAGTTATCGTCTCTTAAGCTTGAATGGCCACTTTGAATCATTAGGTGACATAATTATTCTTGGGATTGTGACTCTCGAGCCAATGTTTTTTCCAGAAATGATGTTTGCGCTGGCGGACCATTTGCCGAGATCCATGGCAATCAATCTTGTTCCATTGCATAGGCCTTCACTTTGGTTTAGGTTTCTGAGAAGCATAACTGGGGTACCTACTTTTAAATGTACATCATGATTAGGGATTCCAGGGAACCGTAAGCTGTTCAAAAATTCAGTTGGGTACAACAGATCTTCATCATTAGTATTCACACTTGCTTTACACACATTGTCTGAGCTAAAATATGTTCTTCCTTCACCTGGTAGCATTTTCATAATTGTATCATTCAACTCATGAACCATTTTATTTTTTGGCGTTAGTATTGCTCTTTCTTTCAAATATGTTGGGTCATTGTACTTCTGCAAGAGGGATGGGTAAACTGCCTCGACAATTGATCCGATTGGATCATTGGATGGTTTGATACATACATCAGGAGGTAATTTAATAAGTTCCTTATTAATATCATCGTAAAATGAGCCATCTCCAATTTGTAGCAACCATTTGTCAAAAGTCGATATTTTAGCAGCCTCAGAATCACTTACTCTTCCACTATAGAGACGCATATTTTGCTTCAACTCATAAATTGTGAAAAATAGCCACAAGTAAGAGGAGTTTAGTGACGTATCAACAATATCAGCTCGTGTACCCTTTGGAATTACTGGTAGTATTTGATGAAAATCACCACCAAATACAATTGTAAGGCCTCCAAAAGATTTGTCAGAGCTATTTTCATACCTCACTCGGAGGATATCTCTCAAGGTTTTGTCTAAGGCTTCAAAACAAAATTTATTTGCCATTGGCGCTTCATCCCAAATGATCAAGGAAGTTTTCAAGAGAAGTTCAGCTAATTGACTGCCTTGTTTTATTTCACAAGTTGACTCTGAGCTAACATCCAAAGGAATATGAAACCGTGAATGAGTTGTCCTACCATTTGGTAATAACAAAGCAGCTATTCCAGAAGTAGCAACAGTGAGAACTATTCTTGATTGTGATCTTATCTTGGCTATTATTGTATTCCATAGAAATGTCTTCCCAGTACCACCATGTCCACTTATAAATAATAAACGGCCTTCTTCCTTCTCAACTGAATTTATTATTGCTTCATACGCTGACTTTTGGCGAGCATTTAACAGAGCGAATGATTGGTCATGCACTATCTTTAGAGCATCTTTGTCATACTCTAGCTCCTCGTTGATAAGACGATTTCCGGCATTATTTAGTAAAGCTGAATCTGGGAGTGGCATTCTATCTATGTCTTTCAAACTTTTTCCCATCTTCAATAGGATGCTTTCAATCTCAAATAATGTATATGCTTCAAGTTGTTTTTTTGTCAACTGTAAATCTTTCAATCGAAATCTCTTTCTCTGTAATGATATTATATCTTCTGATAAAATCTCAAAGTTGGTATTCCAAATTTTTCTATAATCAGTTACTTGACTGTGAATAAGTATCGTCACAAAGAGATTTCTCAACTCATTTCTTGTTACCCAAAGTGCAGCCTCAGCCAAGCAATCATTCCACTCTTTATCATCTTCTAGTAATCCTAAAGCGTAGCATGCATCTTTATAATTGTCATGCGTTACTCCATTTATTCTTCTAATGCTTTCAAATGAAGTGCATCCTTTGACAAAATTAAGCAGCATTCTCATGTAAAAATGTTCTCCAATTGCAGGATGTGCAAAGTAAATTCTACCAACTACGTTGCCATTTCTCCTTTTGGTCCAAGTTTTGTCTCTTGAATTTCAGACAAAATGTGTAGGAAAATCAGAATATGTGAGCTCTCGTGCCTCAGTGTATTTTTTGTTTGCCTCAAACCATTCCGTGAATTTTGTTACTTCAATGCCTGGTGTACTAAGAACACTTTCTGCTCGCCTTTCTTCTTCGAATATTATTGAATTTTGTCCTTCTAAATGAAATGGCAATCGCTCAACTGATGGCTCTCTGTGGTGTATGCCAAATTTAAAGATCCTCCAGCAAGCTTCTATAGCTGATATGTATCTGCAGTCTAGATATCTTTTAATCTCATCAATTTCTACACCGGTATCTGTACATTCTACAGTTGTTGTTGCTCTATTGGATCCTTTATTGACATATTTGAACAGGTACTTCACCGACGTTGAGTAATTGCATAGCTCAACATTTATATTTGCATCAAATTTGACAATCAAATTCCTATTGTAAGGTACGACATATCTGTTGTCTAATAAGACACCATTTTTCTTGACCTGAGTACCTGTGTTCCTTCTCTTATAAATTGGAAATCCATCTGCATCAAAAGTTGTTCGATCGTTGAATTTTTTCGGAAAATGCTTGGTACACTTTCCTTGCTTCATACATGGGCAATGGCGATTGAGTTCTCCACAGGGTCCGTGCATATGAAGTTCTTGATGGCATTATAACCGTCAGGATCAACCTCCAGATCAGGTATTTTTGCTACTATTAATTTATCAATATGGTCTGTGGAGGGGCTCTTTAATGTGGGATGCATGAAGAGCAGTATATGTGCGTGAGGCAGTCCTCTTTTCTGAAACTCAATTGTATATATACCTACAGAATTAATGGTATATGGTGATAGTTAGGATGGAAGTAAATTAATAATCATACCATCATTTATTTAGAATATAAAGCTGACTTTCTTTTTAAATATTCATCAAAGTAGTACTTTTAAATTCCTATTAATAGTTTATTACGAAGACTTATAATTCTGTTAACTAAATCAAACCTTAATTTTGTTTTTTGTTGTGAATCTATTGAGAATACATTTCTTCGTACTTGAGAAGGATAAAGCAAACAAATTAAAGATAAAAGTAAACAAACATATTATTAAGGTCAAAGATGGCCATATATTATTATATATATGCAAGGGGAGGTTTAATCATAGTGAAATGTCTAAAAACATAAATCCTTTAGGATAAAATAAAATTTGTTTTCATGATACAGATTTAACTGCAAAAAAGACATATTACTAATACTCATTTCATGCTAATTTATTGATAGATGAGTGATGCCTGCAATGAGTATGTAATGATGAGGAACTTACAGGCGATTATTTTCCCAAAGTGTTGTTGCCTTTTCAAATCTTGCATTAGCTGGAACAATTTTATTTGAAAAACTCTGCATATGATGTCAACTCGGCTATCATCCCCCTCTTGGTTACTTAAGCGGAGCATTTTATTTATTTCTGGCCACTTTGGGTTGCAAGTGAAAGTAAGGAAAAAATCCGGATATCCAGCCCACCTACAAATTGCCATGGCATCTTGATAGTTTTGTGCCCTATATCGGAGTCCCCCAGTGTGTGATGAAGGCAATATAATAGTTTTTCCTACCATTGAACAATCAGAATCACCTCTAAGAACAACATCCATTAATCCAGCGGAAAGAACAACTCTGAGGTTTTTTTGATTATTTCGGATATAGCTGAATCTTTCTTCTTCTATTGCCATGTAACCGTCAATGATGTACTGCTGCAATAGTCTGCCTGCTAGTAGAAGAGTTTGTACCTCATTAAGTCTTTGTTGTATCGTGAAACAATAGAATTGTCTCATTGTTAATTTTTCTCGCTTGGAATTTCTGTTGTTTACGTATGCCAAAAGAATTCCTAGTCTATATCCGTCTTCGCCATATGGGTGTATTAATGGGTATGTCATAGACATGAAACTTGGGTGTAAATCTGTGATTCTTTGAAGTCCCTTTTTCCGATGTTCTACAATAACATCTCGTTTGAAGTTTTCTTCAGTAAGATCACCAACGATTAATCCTGCAACTTCAGAGGCTGTGGGTATATTGTATTGTTGACCATCTCTTGTCCTATCAGATAGTAGCCGTAGACGGAACACAGATTCTGGATGCTCTCTATATCTATCCCTAGCCATCCTAAATGTTTTTACCAAAATGTTATGCTCATCTAACATTTGAAATAATTCATGAACAACCTTGGGATCAATATCTTCTTGCAACAGCCAACTCATTCTGTTACTTATCTCATTTTCAGTGTCGTATATATAAAGCTGAGCAAACTGTGGCTTCTTCCCAATTTCTGGTAGCAAAGAGCCTATGTGATGGTAATTCTGACCGCTCATCCTGAAAACATACGGCCCCTTCGAACGATTAATAGATCCATCAATTCGCCCCCTATATATGTGAATGCGAACATCGAGTTATAAGCCCTGATATTTTTTCGAAAGTTGATACCTAGTTGTCCAGAAACTGTTCCCAAAAGATATTTGAGATAGTGTGGTGGTTCAGTCAGTAACGGTAGCCGTACGCAGCCTTCCGAACAACACAATGAGAATTTAGGGTATGATGTCTGTGTATTTTTTCTTGTTCGTTTTTCATACCACAAAATAGCACCACAATATTGGCATGTGTACGTAGGGGGGCCAAAATTCCAAGTTGTTGCATAATGACCTGTCAAGTTCAAATTTTGTAATATCAATATAAGTATGCTATACTTAGATTATGATGCGATTTTTCTATCTTTCCACATCAACAAAAATTAAAAGTAACAACTTTGGCACTATTGTTAAGGAATAAAGCTTGGTAAAGAATAACATACCATTTTTTGAGGCAACACATGTCTCCCTTCGAAGTTGATTAACTTCATAAATTTTGTGAATCTTCTCACCAAGTATAGAAACAGAACTATTTTCTTTCTTGGGTGATACTTGTATTTCTTTTCAACTAATGAGACTTTTCGCTTTATTCTCGCAAACTTGAATCTACAATTTCTGATTACACTTAATTCCTCGTTCTTTCGGTTGCATTGTACTGTTGATGAAAATCTCTTCAATTTTATTTTTAACATCCTTTCTTGCCGAGCTAAAACTGGCAAAAGCTGCTGTAGTAGGGTAATCTCTAACGGAATATTCACTGACGCACTAAATTCTTTAACAGTAGCAGATACCAATTCCATTTAATCTGCTATGAAATTTTGAAAGAGTAAAATATATCAAAATAACATGTAAAAGAGAATATTCATGAAAAAGAATATGATATAAATAGAAGATATGAATATTGGAAGTGCAAATCTAAAGTGAACTAACCTGGTGATGAAATTGGAATTGGAATTAAATGGGGTATAGTGAACGAATTTGCTTATGTGTTATGTTTTGTAAGATAGTTTAAACAAAATACACACCTTCCTTGGATGTGCTAATGCTTGAACTTCTAGAGAAAACAGAATGCATGTTTGGTTGGTTGAAGAGTTTGAAGAAGATGAGTATAATCTGGTATAAGGAAAATAAAAAAAAAGAATTAGGGATTTGTCTTTTTGTTATTTAGTAGGAGAGTACCGTTAAAGATTTGGTGGTACAAAAGTAACAGTTGACGTGAGGTTGAGGGATTTAGTGGTGTATCATAAATATCTTCTTAATTGTGAATCATGTGATGGTTATATGTTGTAGTTGAAATCTATATAGATTATTATTTTCTTTTGCGTTGTTATGCCTTTATGTTAAATGCAATTCCAATAGCAGCCTAATTAAAGTTAAAGGGTGCAAATTGATAGAGCAAATGCATAGCAACAACCACAGCAGCTGAGCCCATATCCACTAAATTCTACTGCCTACCAAAAAGTACATTCCTAGGCTGCTTCACCAGAAAACAAAATTCTGTTAAAGCTCGATTCTTTTTCATTTTCTGATATCGACGTCGACGTTGCATTTACAACTGCCATTACTCTTCTGCTAATTCTAACTTTTCTTTCCAGTCTATGGCCATTCCACTTGTTAAGTACGCTTGTTGTTGTTGTCTTATATGATAGAGTATTTATATTATTTGTTGGTTGAGCAGGGGAGAAGCTTCTCGCCGGCCTATGAATTGGTGCTCATCAATTTTACTGAAGAATTCAATCCTCATTTCAGAATCATATAAATATCAACATTGTTTTGTTGTGTCTCTTTTGACTTGGTTAATGGATGCAATTTGAAATGTGCATTTCAATTAAGTGACTATTAGCTTTGGGGACAGAGTTATACTAAGTTTTACTAATTATTCAACTCTTAAACTGGTTTTTCGCTTTGGGACAAAAAATAGACGAAGTAAATAAATTATCAAAGGATTGTTTCATCAAGAGACTTTATCCATCACGTACAGTAATTATGTTTTCTTGATGAATTCAATACACCTAAATTGAAGGAGAAGCGGCAACATTCGCTCCAAAACCATGAGTTTCCAATTTAACCGTCATTGCACCGAAAATATAAGTTACCAATCTAATAAATGGATTATATCTGCAAGAAACTACTATGGTACCATAACAAAGAGGTAGAAATCAAATCAAAATAAACTTCAGGACATAGTTGACAAACCGAGCTCAAGTTTTTCAGTGAAGAAGCCAGCACTTTTCATATTCTAAAGTGGTGTGAATGACCAACAACTTTGACAGGGTTCTTCACAGTCTTACAAACAACCAAACAAAAAGCTAAAAAGAGGACCAAATAGTTTTATTTAAGCACACACAATATGCTATAACCAACACTAAAGACTCTACTATTTGATTTGTTGGTATCTTCATCACTAAATTCATCGTCGTCTATGATTATGTTTCTTCTCTTTCTATTCTTAACCCATCATTGACATGTTGATCTTCATCAGAGTCTTCCAAGTTATCGAATGAGACATCAGCAGCCTGTTTGGTTTAAAAGAAAAGTTCACATACCTATTAAACATGTCCAATTTTAAATCTGAAAAAGATAGTTTATTCACATACCTATTACATTGTAAAGCAGCTTACCTTTTTTTTTTTTAATTAATCTTTTTGTCTTCTGCTCCTTTGGTTCATTTTCATCCTCCAATAAGCTTTTTCCCTGCAAAAACAACAAAAACTTATATATATATATATATGAAAGTCCAATATAATTATGGATTAAAAGTTTCATATACACAGTACCTTCTTATCTTTCCTCGATTGGTATTGTATTTCCAAATTCTCAACTGGAACGAAAACCTTTGATACGGTAAAATTTTCAAGCCCCTCTTGCAAATTATAATTGTTTAATTTTAGCTTGAAAATAAATTCTTTTTTGCAAAGGCTTTGGATTTGGATAGGTACATCATTGTTATCTAATGGCAGCCTGTTTAACAACTTGTGGGTTGATGTATCAAGTAGCTTCTCTGCAACAAGATTAAATAGGACAACACTGCTCTCCCCAGTTTTATTTTTGACTTTTAGGTGTATCTTATACCTTGATTTACATAATAAGTTAGTTTAAATAATAACATGAATCAAATTCACATTAGAGATTGGTTCCTTACTTCACCAAAGGAAACTTGCATTCTTTGTTACAAATATGGCAATTATAGACACTATTTTCAGCTTCGATCTTCTTTGAGCATGCATTGCATGAAATATAGTACCAACCAAAATGGTTGTCTATTTTTGTAATCTCTCCCCTCATGGTAACAATGTATTCCTACCATTTAAAAAATTATGTATTAGAAGCATATTACAATTTTGAGAAACAGAAAACTTAAGAAGCAAAATAGTGAAAGAACCTCTAATTCAGGACCCAGTCGCAATCCAACAACTCCTTGATGTTCATCTTATTAAAAGACATCTCTTCCTCAATCGGAATGCTATTAACATTAGAACGTTCAATAGTTTGTACTCCAGCAGAGACGGTTGCAAACATTTGGATCAAAGAAGTTATGTAGTCTACATTGAGATTTATATATATTTTGCTTGCGTAGCTGGTGGCGAAGCTAACCTCACCTATTGATAATGAATGCAATAATGAATAGTTTTATTCTAATATTCAAAGTAACAGAGTATATAACTTTAATCATTAAATCTAAAACAATTACCACGGAATTCTTTAACTGCTGTAGCGGTTACTATCACGATATACATGCCAGAATCATTCTTGTACAAATAAGGATTGAATTTCTCACCAAATTCTTCCCATAAAGTAATTTTTGCTTTGTCAGAACTACAACAGAAATATGGATTGAGGAAGAGGCATTGAAACATAATAGGAAATGAAAGTTCCGGAGGATTTACAAATTAAACAAACATAAAATGAAAAGCGACTCACTAATCAGTAACAATTTGAATGTCCCTTTTTTTCCACCTCGAGCCAACAATCTCCATGTCTCCAACTCCGCACAAACAGCCCACCACATTTTCAACTGAAGAGCATAAAGTAGTTATTTAAGAATCACATGGATATTTAAAAAAAAGATAGCAAAAATTATAATGAATATACCTGATAACACAGTGTTATTGTTCACCCTTGAGTCGATCATATCTGATGTGATAAACTGAAATCCATTTAGGAATACTAACAATATCTTCTTCTAGACTCTTGACGGCAGTTTTAAGTAAGAAATTAATTTTAAAATTACTTTCAATAGGCCTATATCCACCACTACTTTCAACAACTTTGAAGTTCTTGATAACAGACAAAGAACCTTCAGTCAACTTATCCTTAAACTTGTTATATAGTTTCTTGTTGATTGTAGCATGCATCAAATTTTCCTGATAAAAGAAAAGAGTTAAGTATTTTGAGGTTAAAAGCTACAAAGAGAATCTACATATAAAAGATTAAGAATCATATATGTACCTTTTCGTCAATAAAGATCATATCCAAGCCAATTAACTCTCCATTTTTCTTGGGATTAAAAGAATCCCACATTCTACAAATTCTAACCCTTATCAACCAATCATCCCTCCGAAGACCCAACTCTGAAAGAAAAGAATATACCATTCTAAGAAAATAATGAGAAGTAAGAGAAAGCAAGCAAGTTACAGTATGAACAACAGTCATCACCATCTATATATAGTTTATCAAAATAGAGTATCAGTAGACACAAGATTAATCATCAATTTAATAATCAGAAATTAATACACATTAAATATCATTGTAATTAGAAATTATGAGGATGAATGGAGAATTATTAGGAGAAGATAGTTGGAAAAATTAAACGGCTATACCACGCCATGAACTGAAGAAAGACTTGGAATTTTACCTTAGATGAAGCTCTGACCTTTGAGGGAAGAGTTCGTACATGTGCACTTTTATTGTGTAAGGATAAAACAAAACGGCTATTGGGCCTGTTTAGTAGCATTTATTATTTTTAGTAGTGGGCTAATAAATAACTTTTACAAATAAATGGAGTGAAGGAGTGAAATAACAGGAAAAATTCAAAAAAAATTAGAAAAAAGATAAATCTGAAAGCTGGCTATACAGGCATGCCACATCAGCTGGCCAATTTCCAAATATATATATATATATATATATATAGATGTGCGTAAATTGACTCGGATACCACACTGACCCGGATACCACACCTATAAAAATGCACAGTGAATAGAGCAAGTTGGTGCATTAAATGAAGAGGCAAGAGAGAAGATGAACAAACTTCACTTAAATGCAGCACAACGGCCAGAAAGGGACAATATATTGCATCTCAGTGCGGAAACCCCAATATAACATTTATAAAAACCTCATATTTGTTTCTTTTTTGGGGGTTATTTTTGTATATATATCAAATCAATTAGGCTCCAAAATTAACATTCAACAAATCTCAGATGTTGTGGTTGAATTGCTAATGACCTTTTTTTAAATATTAATGTTGTGGTTCTAAATTTTTGTTTACTATCTATCTGTATTGTATATTCTTTGAGATTCTTCTACAATATCCTATAATTACTAGCATTAAGAATAATAATATTTGCCTAACATTTCCTATATTTTGTTAAACGATTAATACTAACCAATTAGCAAAGTAAGGGTAAATTTGACAAAAAAAAAAGGTAAGAAAAGACTTCTGGTCTCTTTTTATTTCAAAGTAAAATATTTTAAAGCAAAATTATTATATCAAAATGAAGTACTCTCTCCCTCCGGTCACTTTTACTTGGCATGTATACTAAAAATATATGTTCACTTTTACTTGGCACTTTACGCATATCAAGAGAAGACAACAAATTTTTTCATGTTTTACCCATAGTATTTATTACTCATTTCAAATTATTTTCTCAAATCCAATAAAATATGCATCAATTAATCTGAGTATCATAGTAAATTATACACTTCATTTATTATTTCTTAAGGGACGTGAAAAGTCAAAAGGTGCCAAGTAAAAGTGACTGGAGGGAGTACATAATATTTTTGTATTATGTGGATTTATTATGAAATATCACTCATTTTGAGAAAATATAAAAAAATTATAGTACTTCTTATTAAGAGTCTCCAATTAAGCTCTTTATGGAAGGAGACAAATTTAGGGTATGTTCATAAGATAGTAATTAGTTGGAAAAAAAATAAGATAGTAGTAATTAACAAACGATTGTAATTAAATGATACTTATACTATAGATGAAGGGTTCTTTCTCCCACGTTCAATTAGTTTGTCATTATAAGTCGTGGTTGACCATGGGCCACATATTCTGGTCAACCTTTCAATTTCTGGGGCTTTTGACACAGATTTGTTCACATTACGGAAGACAAATAGTTAATATCAATTCCCATGCCTTATCTTTAAATTTTGGTCATCGTATTCATACAATATGACTATCTAAAGATAGGGACTAGGAACTTTATCATGTCAGCAATTTTTTAACTCGCTTTCACCATTTTTGTCGAGAAAAAGTACTTTGTGATATCATGTGACATCATTATGTAAAGTTTACTACTACTAGCATAATTAAGCCACAAAACATAATATTTGTTCCAATTACACCTTCATAACCCCAAATATCCAAATTCATTACAGTTCCCTTAGTGATGCTTCAATAACCCTAGTATGAACTGGTTATTTCTAAACGAGTCAAGAAAAGTATAACAAACAAATCATGTCTCTATATTGGATCAAGATTCAAGAACACGATCAGAAGGAACTCAGAGAAACAAAGCCACAACCAGAAGCGGATGTAACCTTTCGGCTACGAATTCAATTGATTTGGATAAGGAGTACGAATTTATATGTAAAAATTTACTAAAATCTCCACAAGTATTAGATTTGAACTTATAATTTTACAGTATAATGAGTTCAATACTAAAAATCTTAAAAACTGAACCCATAAAATTTAAATCCTGAATCCTCACCTGCCCACAACTTCGAGAAAAGAGGTGCTCGATCTTCTATTTTTTGATTAGGAAAAAGTGAAAAGATTTTATCGTTAAACTCAAATTAAGGGCTAATTTTAATTCTAACATGAACTTATACAGTCTGTTTGATCGACCAAACGCCGCCTTTCTCTCCTTGGACATTTTGATTTGTAACTTGAATTGCTTGCCGATCAAAGATCAGATTCCGAGGTAAAGCAGCCTTAATTTAGCAACCCTTTCTAGAAAAAAAAGAATAATAGTTTGAAAAAGAAATAAAAAATATATAGTTAAAGAAAATAATGCTATTTAGTTTTACCTTCTAGAAAAGATAACATTCTTGGTTCATTATATTCAAGAGTTGAAAAGTGATAGGGGAAGCATCTCTTAGGAGCAGAGGCGGAGCCAGAATTTCAAGCTTATGGGTTCGAAATTTTAATCGTTTTAAGTTATTGGATTCTAAATTAATAATTTATACATATTCAATGGATTTTTTAAGATAAATACAGGGTTCGAACCAAAACTACTGGGTTCGGCCGAACCCGTTGGCTACACTCTAGCTCCACCCCTGCTTAGGAGTTGAGAACTAAGTACGAATTTTCTGCATTTATTATTTAATAAAGTCTTATACTTCAAGGCATGCAACTTTTAGCCAAAAAAAATGGACATTTACAAATATGGTTCTCATTAAAGGTCAAAATAATGTAATTTCAATTCGAAGTTGTCCTCCTTTAAAAAAAATCTATTTTTAAGGTAAATAATAATTGTATTGCTACTAGCTTTATAAAAGTAGAATGTCTAAGTCCCAATTTTTCGCAATATTCAGTACGATTATAACTAATATAGGTTAATGGTATAAAACCGTCAATAGGCGTATATGAAAGGGGAAAAGTTAAAATTGCTGAAGATTCTATTCATATCATTATGTCCACTTTTATTGAGCGTATACATTTCAGCCAACAGTTTAATAGGCTACACATCTAAATTATTTAATTCGAAAGAGAAATGTTGAATCTCATTTTATGACTTTAAATGCTTCCTATACTATTTTGGAAATAAGTGTGTTGCATATGGTTTTCAACTCGAAAGTGACAAAACTTTGACATTAATTTTCTTGATTACATGTTTCTATAATTTGGAATTAAAAAAAATAGTCACGTATAAGTAATGTTTTTCCTTTCACTTCTAAATAGGAGTAATTATTATCTTTAGTTAACGAATTGTGGCGGATATTGTTGATGAAGGGAGCATCTTATATGAAGTATAACACAAGCATTTTCATCCCTTACATTACATACACCTATTTCCGGAGATCATGCATAATTTGCTAACTTCCCAAACATATATTTCATAGTGATCTCTTGGTTATTCTCATTTATTACTCGTATTATTATCTTAGTACTTGTTAAGTCCCACATTGACAATGAAGGAGCACTAATAGAAATCCGCTAATTTGCGACCAGGAAAAGCGACCAAAGTTGGTCGCTTATTGGCCACAAAGTGATCAAACAAACCTGGTCGATATTAAGCTGGTCTTTTTACCTTAGGGACCAAATATTCCGGTAAAGAAAAAAGCGACCAACTTTGGTCGCCTTATTATTTTAATAATATAAATTTGACAACCAAAATTGGTCTCCACAGGTAAATTACGTTTTATTTATTTATTATTAATAAAAAAAAAGCGACCAACTTTGGTCTAAAAAGAAAATATTATTTTTTAAAATCTGGATATTAGAGAGCAAAGTTGGTCGCTTTAGTATTAATTTTTTTAATTTTTTTTAAAATAAGCGACCAAAGTTGATCGCCAAATGGAAGAATTAATTATTTTTTAATTGTAGGCAACCAACGTTGGTTGCTATATTTTCAGAAATTATTTTTTTTTTAAATGGAATGGCGACCAACTTTGGTCGCTTTTTGAAAAATCTGGGTTCAATGGCGACAAAGGTTGTGCCATTTACCAGAAATTTGTTTTTTTTTCCAGGGAAAAGCGACCAACTAGCGACCAAAGTTGGTCGCTTTTCTTGGTATATTTTTGGTAGAAAATGCCTGTATTGGCAGCTACACCGCCTGCCAGCTTACCAAAAATCCTAAATAGGCATTTTATGCCAACAACAACAACAATAAACAACAACAACATTAAAACTAACAAACTATAAAGTTCAATAGAAGTAACACATTAAGCTAATCAAACTAAGTTAATTGTTATTACAAGTCCATTCGAAAATCGATTGTATTTGTCTAGTTAAAAGTGTATAAAAGTCAAGGATTGTTTTGTACATCATTATCATCACCGTTTGATGAACTTTCACCAAGACGGTATCCAAAAGGGTGTACTTGTCTAGGATGGGAAGAACAATCACGGAGAGGACGGGAGGAATGAGCACGGGGAAGGCGAGCTTCTGGCGATGAGTCACGAGACCGGGGAATCAGAAAACTGCCAGAAGCTAAGAGAGATTTGATCTGCTCTTGCATGCCAATGTACTGAGCATCTTTAATCTTTTCTCTCTCCTTGGCGGCTTCTAGCTCGGATGTGAGCTTTGTCACAGTCTCCCGCATAGAGGAGAGGCTCTCCCCATCAAGTTGCTCGGCTTGCGAGGAAGTCCCTATTCCTTGCATTCCACACTTATAGCGATGGAATTTCTTAGTAGGAAGCCCGTATACCTTCCCCCATTTTGGACCCCCAGCAGCCTGCATCCAGATTCTTTCAGCATCCTCGTCCGAAGGTTGGATTGGGTCGCCCGACTCACTAGGGGGCTGACTGCGTATGAATTCCTCCACTTTAGCTATGAAGCGACCCTATAAGAAAAATTACATTGAATTAGTATTTCAAATTTATATAAAAGTAAATCAAAATACTTAATGAAAAGTGAAAACTTACATGTACAGTCGAGGCTCGACCCTCGACCCACCTTTCTTGATCCGTCTCTTTCTTCTTCTTTACAATATGAGTCTCCTTGAATAGCTCATCTTGGTTCATCGGACGCCCCAACTTCTTCTCCTGAAAACTCATAAATTTTAGTTAATAAACAGAATAGATATACTTTGAAAATTAAAATAAATTAAGCAATTACGAACCATTCTTCTCTTTATTGTCCCTAGGCTGATTG